GGGGGACAGCAAATGGGACTATAAAAGTGACGTTATAGTTATACTGTTCTTAAATGCGGTGGTGCGCAAAACTGATTCCGAGGGAAATTTCAGGCGGACTTACCGGAGGACTGGCACCGCAGACTCACGGACAGCCGAGCTACTGAGGGGTCAGTTACCACCCAGGTGAGGACAGCCCTGCCTGGGCCGGACAGCAGAGCCAAGCTACCGGGTCCACAAGCGCACCGCTCCTCCCCGCCCTCAAAACACACCCTAAGGCAGGACCCCTGATCCACTGATACGTTTTCACCTGGACCGTTTGATGGGAGAATATAACCCACGTCCAGCTCCTGTCCGGAGAGTCTGGATCGCTGAAGGATTTAGTAGGAGGAGGAGGGGTATTTGTGGGGTCATCAGAATATATATTCGGCGGTATACAGTATTGTTTGTAACCGCTGCTCCGATTTTCGAAGTCTAGAGCCCCCCCACAATCGCGGTGTACCCACCCATAGAGACACCCCGTCAAAACAACACGGAGTATCTTCGAGAAACGCGCTCCTCTCAGAGCAGAGAACTCGAGTTTTCATAACACGACGAACTGCTTTGTCTCCCTTACACCTCAAAACCCTCTTTTAAAAACGAAAAAACGATGTCGTGGCTTTTCAAGAACTGTCTAAAAAAATGTAAATTCATGAAATACCTCGTATTTCTTACGTTAGGGACACACGACGGGAACTCGAACCCAGTGAATAAACTCTGGTGTCACCTAATTATACCCCAGTCCAAGGACGAACTTACTGAGCATTAAGTGCTTCATCGTCAGGGCTTTATTCAGCAGTACCAACGACCAAAACTGCTTTCAAGGACAACCTGGACGGCGGTTAAATGTGTTTATATTTAAAAGACTCAAAGGTCTTGCGGGTTTAAACCAACCTTTTATTGAGACTTAACCGGTGGTTGTTGTTTTGTTTTGTTTTTTACCCCGCGTCGCCCGAAAAACACAAAGCAGGCAAAATAAAAAAACACTCGCTGGGGAAAAAAAAAAATGCCCCGTCCCCAGTGTCTGTGACCTGTCCGGAGTCCAGTCTCTTACCTGTACGGACAGCGAGCAGGAGCAGAGCGATGTGGAGCCGCATGGTGCTGCAGCGCACATCCCACGGCGGAATGTGACGGCTGTCCGTGTTCCATACAGAAGATTGGTTTCGCCTCTCCGAAAAGGTCCCCCCGACACGGACGGATAAGTGTGGGCAAGCGGGGCGAGAGACACCCGCAGAGCAGAGAAGACCCCCCAACTTTCCGGACTGAACGCGAACGCACAGTCGCGCCTCCCTGTTCCTCTTCACGCCACAGGCCAGGACCGTCGAGGCCGTCTCTCCCTTCGCTTTTCCTCCCGGCTGTAAAGGAAATCCCACTGTCGACAAATGAGACACACGTGTGCAGGGAACGCAGGCGTCGTGCTCCGCCCGGAGAGAGGAAACAGCGGGGCGAGAGAGCGGTGGCGACGGCGGCACTCGGACCAGCTGCCCGTCATTAATCTACACCCTGCAGCGGTTCCGTCCAGCCCGGCCTCATCACTGTAAAGCCGGTGCCTCGGTGTTTTTTTTTCTTGCCCACCATTCTTGATATACTGCGGATTTAAATCCGGGTCAGGAAGCAATTAGGGTTTATGACAGGAGAAGACGAGAAGTTCCTGGAGTTTTAATGAGTACTAGAATGCGGACCTCGGGCAAGGAAGCCTTATTACTGGGTTTCGAAAACACGTGTGCGGAGAGTAAACGAAGTACATAATGTGGGCACAGGGCCAGGGTTGGTTTATGAATCCTCTGTATGAAAACTTCCCTCAGTGCACGCAACATGTCTTTTAGCAGGCCTCAGTCCCGAGTGGTAGAGGAGTGTGGGGATTGTGCTCACCCAAACACAAAGCAAAGACCACATTAACGATCTTGTTTAGACAAAAAAAAGGATGTAAAGGCCTGGGTAACTGCTCACATGTTCCCCGGGATTTTATTCCGTCTTCAGCTTCTTGCAGCCTCCTGACATGCACCCAGTGGCACTGTACTGACAGTTTTTCCTCCTGCTGCGGTCTTGTACCATCTGCAGGCAGCTCTGAGCTCTGTGCCCCACCAGATAGTCTAAGACACGTTGGGACAGTTGGAAAGACAAATGGAAATACAGCTAGTAATAAAAGGATAACATGAGGAGCTACAGTATAGGGTCAGGTGGTGGGAGAGAACTGGGCCCTTGTAATAGAGGAAGGCAGGGGGATACCTGGTAACACAGATCCCCCCCCGAGCTTGCCTCTCTTTGGTACAGTCCACTTGCACACTGCTGAAGCACAGACACCTTCACTGTGGCTTTCACACAGTAGCAGGAGAAAGAACAGTCTCAGACACATTCTATTGGTGCACAACCACGCAAAATTACACCACTTATTAATCACTATACCAAATTCAGCACTTTCTGAAACAGTTCTGCAACAGAATGAGACGGATGGCTGTTCATCATTCTACAACTGATCAGCAACATTGAAAGACTGGTCTGCTGAGCCACAACATACAGGACCGGAGCACAGACCTTGGTCATGGTGTGGGGTCTCACCTGCGCCCACCATGGTCAGACAGAGAAACTGCACTGTGAAATAGCCCACTTAAAATTGTTTTACAACCAAAATAAAACGTTTCAGAGGGCAGACACGCTCCATTCTTTCAAAAATATCCAGAACCCAACAGGACTGAGAGGTACTCTGACAAACAGCAGACACGTCGGTGAATTTCTCCCTACCGCCACCAGGTGGCGCCAAAGAACAACCCCTCTGCTTTAACACAGAACAAAAAAGAACAGGTTTGGTATTACATTTTTTTTATTTTCCAAACTCTTGACAAGTTGTAGGTTTTTTTTTTAAATACAGTGTGGACCGCATACGCGGCACGTGACACTGCAAAGCCATGAACAGCACAAACAGCTTCTGAAAAACAATGGGTTTTTTTTTAAACTGGAAAATATCTCCACCTGAGACAGGTCCACTCAGGTCACAGGGCAGCGGGGGCAGGGTCTCCCTGCAAAAAGAAGAGCAGCTGTCACTGCAGAGTCCTGCCATGTGCTCAGACACCTCTTACAGCAGCTAGAGACAATGGGACTGAATGCTGGCTGTAGGAAGACAAATACCTAACCTGAACATACAGAGCAGCATTAGTACAGGGGTCTAAGCAGTGCCTGGGCTCTGTGGCTAAGGATCTGTGAGTGGCCGGCAGAGGAATCCTACTCCGTTGGGCCCCTGAACAAGGCCCTTAACCCCAGCTGCTCCAGGGGCGCTGTACAATGGCTGACCCTGCACTCTGACCCCAAGTTTCTCTCTCCCTGCCTGTGCGTCTCATGGAGAGCAAGCTGGGGTATGCGAAAAGACAAATTCCTAATACAAGAAATTGTATATGGCCAATACAGTGATCTAACCCAAGTCCCAGAAAGCTCAATCCCCTGTCCTATCGGTCAACTGTTTCTACATACTGGGAGCAGCAGCGAGTTAGTGATCAAATAAACTATTTAACAATGAATCCGTTCAATTACAGGCATCTGATCCTTATGGGTGGAGGAGTATTCAGGTTTTAATCTCAAATGATCTCTAAACCTAATTTAGAAAAGCACTGGAGTTGGGGATCACAGTGAAATAGTTTCAGCTCTTTCAAAACTGGAAATGTAAGACAAACCTAGTGAGCCTGTGGAACTGGGGTTCTTCACAGCCAGGGCTGGAGACACCCCATCACGCAGGCACCCGTTCGCAGTGACGCTCCCCTCTGCGTGAGCTCTAGCAACAAGCGCTGTTACCGTGGAAGGGCGCTGGAAACTGACCTGCTCTGGGGGGCAAGCACTGTCACTCGTACACGTCCTTCTTGTCTGAGATGTACATTACAATATCTTCGGGGGTCATCAGCTTCTCCGCATCCACGTCTGGGATCTCAAATCCTGCAACAACAGCACGTCCGTTAACGAGGGCGGATCGAGAAAAAACAAGCCATGCCTGATCCACAGTGCATTCCCTCCTCCCCGCCATGCAAACACACACCTGCAAGGGGCCCATCTATATACAAACACTACTTCTACAATCCAAGAAGTGCAATACACAATATGCTTTACTACATGCTGCTGGGAAATGGGCAAGAGCCGACCTTTTCCACCACTGTAGAGAAAACCCACTTGCTTTACACATGGAAACCTCACTTCTGGCCAGTTAAACCCACAAGACAGCAGGGTACAAGTGTCAACTACAAATCTCGTTATGGAAAGACGAGCCACCAGCAGAATTCAAATAGAAGTTCACAGTCCTCAGGTAACAATTCACACCGATTGTTCTGACTTTATATTTTCTATACCGGAGTCAGTGGTTGCCCTATTAGATTAATAACAGGCGTGTTGGCAGAGACATGGCCTACTCTGGCTTTGTAACAAAGGCACTGCGCGATTTATAAACGGGTAGAAGGACTGCACAGCAGCTACACTCACCAAACTCATCCTCCATGGCCATTATGATCTCCACCTGGTCCAGGCTGTCCAACCCCAAGTCCTTTATGAAGTGGGAAGTTACAGTCAGCTAGAAAAATCAGAAATAAAAAAAGAAATAAATAACAAACGAGACCATCAGGCAAATCCGAGCAAGAGCTCATTTTAAAACCCCCCAAACCCCCCCCCCCACGCAGCACCGGGGAGCAGGAGAGCGGAGACTTACTTGCTCTGGGTTGACCTTGTCATATAGTTTCAGGACATACAGGACACGGTCCTCGATGTTTCCCAGCGTGAGGGGTGGCTGGTCCCCATAACGTCGGCACAGCTGGACCACGGAGCTGGAGATCTGGAGAGAGAGGCAGAGGAAGAGGCATGCCGTCAGAATCGGAGCACAGACTGGGTCTGGGCAGAGAGAGAGCAAGAGCTGAACATCCTCAGCTCCGGTTCCCAAGAGTCATCAGGCTCCCTGCTAGTCCTCAAACTGAACAAGCTTGGCACCAGCACTGCGTCAGCGTGCGCAGGTAATATTTATTCCATGCTGAAAGGAAAAGAGACTCAGTGTTTCAGCTCTCTCTCACCTGAAGAAGGCTCCACAGCCAAAACACTGTGTCTCTTGTCAGCCTGGAACAAACCTTCACCTGTTCCTTTGCATCAAATTGAACAGGCAAGGTCATTGAACTGATCCATGACACATTTTACCAGGACTAGCTTCATCAGAGATTTAACGCCCTTGTAGATCTCGCTGGATCAGCCTCAGGGGGCGGCGCCGAAGTCCCCCCAGCTCCTTCTGGAACTAGAGGGGGGTGGTTCTCTGACCGCCTCCGAACAGCAGACACAAGCCGAACCGCAGGGAAGGTCAAATATCCCGAGCTTCCAATTCATATTTACTGTGGGAAAACTCGGGCTGTATGTCTTGGTTGTTCAGGCTTCTTTGCGATTTCAGTCCCCGGCGGTACAACAGTGTCTCAGGACTAACGATGATGAAAACGTGGACAAGTCCATTTGACTCGAGGAGGAGGAGGATGGGCTGGAGCTAGAGAAACGATGTCATTTCTGCAAGAGCTGGGCTTTCAAAGGAATGTCCTGAACCATGTCGCCACACAGCTCCAGGCGTCCCAACCCTAATTCTGAAGGTCAGCGAACCTGAGAAGTATATTCCAGCCGTACGCACAAAAATATCACTTTTACCTTACAGATTTCACACTGTCTGGGCCGGCGCCTAAAAACTGATATCTATAACAGCGTGCGGCGAAAGATAAAGGGCAACCACAACCAAACTGAATGAAGGAGTAAATACATTTCACAAAGAAGGAAACCGCAATACATCTTCACTTAATGATGCAGTTTCCAGCTCACGCAACTTTATATGTGAAGACGGCACTGCAAGTCTTACAAAACACCGAGCCACAAATATCATGGGCTAGCGTGTAATTCCTAAAGCATCTTTATTGTTGCTAATAATGCATGCAAATGACCGAACACCTCAGCACACCGGGCGAACCCTCGCCTTTCCTTCTCACGCAGACAGAACAGAGCAGCGCTGCAGATGCACTGGTGAGAGACACGGTCTAGGTCACTGCACAATCCAGTACTGCTAGGCCGATCAATGTTACCCGGGCTGCATTACCTCTGTCTGGTAGACCTGCCGTGTTTTCCGGCTGCAGGAGAGCAGGGAGAAGGGTCGCTGGCTGGGGAGCGGTGCAGCGGCGGCTCTCACAGCAGTGCCTCCCAAGCACAGCCTCACGGAGGACAGGGAGAGCGAGCGGACACACCGGCCGAGGACACGGGACGCCATAACTGACAACCAAGATCGATCCCACAATGCAAAGCGGACGGAGACACTCGCCTGCTTGAGAAGGCGACGGGAACGAGATCGCCGTAAAGGCACATGCGCACAACTGACTCCATTTTGGATCTACACTGAATCCCATAAGAGCCAACATGGCGGACATCTCTGCGGCTAATTCATAACCCCCGCTATGTCTTTGTCTGTAGTACTTGGTCTTTTACTTTGTGCTTCTTTTTAATTTGCACACCTACAACTTTCTCTTGAGTTTATGATTACTATTTAAGTTAAACCACTAACATTGTTTTGGTGAACTGATAAGTTTACTCTGTCCCCATTGTTCTTAAGAGAGTTTTCGAAAAGTTGCCCACTTTCTTTCTAAAAGAAATGAATGAGCAAATTATCCTTTAGGATTCTGCTGACTTTGTATGCTGCACCTGCAGAATGATTTTATAATGGTATAGCAGTCTTTTATGAAACCCCAAAAATATACTGTATTTCTCTTTTATAAGTTATTTCTCCATCTCAGCCACGAATAATGGCATGAGGTCTCTGTGCAATGTTAATGCATGCTATTCAATTAGTTCTGTACAAGGCCTGTATTTTAAAGAAGGCATGACAATATTTAGGAACAATATTTAGGGTTTAATGTTGAGTTTAGACTGGTTATTTTCAGTTTATTAGAAATCGACCTCCCTCAATTCTACAGCAGAACAAACCATAAATATCGCACACAGCTGAGGGCAAACATTTTTTCTTACATACAGGTAGAAGAAGACCAATGGGAACCCATTTTAAACAATAAGAAAACTTTTTAATAACCTTTTTTTGTTTCTTAAAACTGACAGGGAACGTGTCTTTTTTTTTTTTCACAATCACATTTGGGAAATCATTGCCAAACAGTAGTCGAGTCTCAAAACTCCATGTTAAAATGAGCTAAGAGTGCAAACTAGACCCGCCCAGAACCTGCAGAGATTTCTCTGCTAAAGTGTTTAAAATCCAGCCTTTTTGTTTTTTCTCCCC